CAAATCTAGAGTTTATTTTTTGCACTTTTCGTTGTAACATCATCTGGACACGTTTAGTACCACTGCCGACAGGGGTACCGGTGACCGCGTTGCTGGTGGGTTTATCGCTCGCAACCAGGGGCCCAGCAGGGCGTTCTACGCGGAACCACAACGTAATATTTCTGCTGTTTGACATCGTTGCTTCTTCCAGCCAAATATGCTACTGAGAAAATACTCGCTATTACCCCAATTAAATAGGGCGAAAGTGTTTATTGTCGAAGTACGAAGCTGTATTAGTCCATTGTCTTTGCTTAAGCACTGACATGTTTCCATTCACACCTGATTTGGCTCACAGTACCGGACGCTGATGACGCTGACTAACAGATTCGCACGTGTATTAACAAGCTAAAAGAAAGAGTAACAGGAAATGCCACAGAGTAGCGGGCAATCTCTCAGAGTAGCGGCATAAATAATGGAGTAGCGGCCCCGCTACGCTAAAACGCTTTGGGGAGAACACTGAAACATGGTATTTCCATTGGCTACCGAACTATTTTTATTTTATAAACACATTTTTGTCTGCTATTTTTGTCCGGTTCAAATCGTTCAGTAACATATTTGGCATGTCAGGTGTACATCACATAAAATACTACAATTGGGAGAACTTAATGTATGTTGATCACCTGGAAATTGAGTTATATAAATCTTGAAGGGCTCTCGAAAGATCCACTCGCAGTAAAATCATTGATTACTATAGAGCCGCAACCGTTGAACATCGAGATACCAGATTTCTGCTGGCGACGTTGCAGCGTTACTGAGTTCTAAATAAAGATTATTAACGCCAAATGAGCAACATTTTAACCGGTAACCAAGATTCATTCAATCCACGACCAGCAAGCAATATCACAAAAAAAGTTGTAGCTTGCAGCTCAGCGACGACCAATGTCGACGAAAGTCATCCCGTCTGTGGAGTACCGCAGTTGCACGGCTTGTTTGTCAATGCATAATTCTGTGGAGAAACTTTTAACTTCAACATAAACTGTGTATCATAATCTTTCAGTTCAAGTTCTCGCTCTGTCGTGGCTCCAACTAAACATCCACGAGTAATTTATTCTGACAGTGATTCAGATTAGACGTATGATTAATTTATTTTCACACAGTGACGCGCGTTCTACACTGTCACGCGCTGCTAGGGCGTAACACTGTCTTGGAACATATCAATGGGCAATGGGGTTCCCCGATCTAAATTCCATTCAATTTGTTGCACGTTCTTTCTTTAATATTAAATAATCAAATATGGAACATATGTAATAATCTATCTATCTCTATCTATCTAAAAAAACTTATATAGCGCCGGTATCCAAAACTAAGTTTTGTTCAAAGGCACTGAAAGCGAACACTACAAATCTGTAGAGTTATTCCACACTGTAGGCTTTGCTGAACAAGTAGGTCTTAAGTCTCGTTTTAAAAATATTGACATCAGTAACTTCACGAAGATCAAGTGGAAGGTCATTCCAGAGTTTTGGAGCTGCATATGAGAAGGCACGTCCACCATATGTTTTCTGTCTGTAGTTAGTGTTATGGAGAAGCTTCTTATTGAAAGAACGAAGACAGCGACTGGGTGTGTACACATGAAGTAGATCAAGAATGTAGTTTGGAGCAAGTCCATTCAGAGCTTTGAATGTCAACAGCATAAGTTTGTAGTCAATCCTATAACAAACAGGTAGCCAATGTAACTTCTGTAGAACTGGAGATATGTGATCATATTTTCTAGTGCGGGTGATGATTCTTGCAGTAGTGTTTTGAGCATGTTGAAGAAGATTGATGCTATTGGTCCGGCAGTCCAAATAATAATGAATTCCCATAATCAAGCCTAGCAGATAAAACAGCATGAATTAATGTTTGGCAGGTGTCATTACTGAGATATTTCCTAATGCGACCGATGCGACGAAGATGATTGTAGATGGATCTGCAAGTAATCTTGATGTG